TGTATGTGGGTGATGGAGGCAGTGTCAGCTGGCAGTTTGAATTTCAGGGCTCAAATCCCAGCTTTGCTCGAGGTTTCCAGTGTGACCACAGGGAATTCACTCAACTACAGTTGGTTCCCACTGCTATAAAGCAGTTTTCTCACAGAATCACAGAGGGATTGCGTGAACATAAAGAAAGATGCCTCGAAAATGTGGCTGTGTAAAATTTTATGCTACGTACTTACTTTGTCAAATAAATGCAGCTTTCCAACAAGGCACAGCGAGCTCTGCTTCCCATTAGCACTTAATGGAGAAATCACTTTGTTGAGGCTGTGATGTGCTCACAGGGTGCATTTTTGTGGTTAACTGAATGGTTTCATGCCTGTTCTTAGACAACAGGTTCCTATCCACTAAGGACATGTTTGGGTCTTTTTAATTCCTGGTGTGGTGACGTGCAGGGGAATGCTGGCCAGGGCTGAACCCCCTGCAGAGGCCGGAGGAGATGGATGAGTGCAGGCATTTGGGAGCATTGGGCCGGGAGTGCCAGGGCAGGAACACGAGTGATTTGCTCATGATCACACAAAAGGGACATTTCCGTACACGCCGAGGACTCTGCAGGTTACCCAGACATCTGAAATTTCCAAAGGTCACAGCTAAGCCATCCTCACCTTAATGGTGTTCACAGGAGGGGTGGATTTGGCAGCTTAGGTTTATCACGGTGCACCGGGTGTAGGGGAGCTGGTCAAGAGACACAGCTTGAAAAGCAGATGGATCCTGCTGGAAATAGCGGTGTGTATTTGGTGCTTTAAAGTTCATCAGGAGAGAAACATCTTTGCAGTGATAATCCTCCAAATGAAGGGACCTGTGTCCTGAACTGTGGGATGATGCCCTGCCAGGGGGTACATCCTAATAAATGAGTATTATCCCTCCTGCTCTTCCAGCCCTGTGCAGCTTGCCAGAGGGGGCACTTTTTAATGGACTAGGAGAAGTTAAAGGAGAATCTAGAAGGATAAGGCTAAAAGTGAGTTCTTTGGTTTGTACCATTTATAGTCCCATTAAATTCAATATATTTCTCAGACATTTGGGGGGCAAGGAAGTTCAGTGTATTCGTACATCTTTCAAGATCCTCACTTGATCATTTGACTCTGTCCAGCCAGCTTAACAAGCTAAATAATAAAAGGGAACAATGCAAAACTTGTTGAATTTTTTTTCACCCTGGGTCTTTTTTGAAGAAAAATACCATTTTTTTGTCTCAGATGCCCCGCAGTTTGCTGCAGACTCCTGCAGCTTTCCTGCCCATCACTCAGTACCTGTTTCAACGTATCAAATTGTTGTACTTCCTCCTTTCATAGAGAAGCAATTAAAAATGATGAGGGTAAAGGGTTAAACCTAAAAGCCTGCTAATGAGGGTGCCTTCTTGGTTTTTCTTTCATCAGGCATTAGATGCTGCTTTCAGCATAAGCTTTCGATAAGCATCACTGAACATTTTATCCAGCGTGTTTTTAAAAAGTTGGGGTTTTTTACCATCCTGTAAAAATGATAGATGTGTGACTCTGCTGTTTATCCGAAATCCTAATTACTGATGCTGCAGCTTTTAAATGTTAAATTCATGCAGTGTTCTTTAGGCTTCAGACTGGTCAAAGAAAGATTGATTTGTGTCCACAGAGAGTTCTAAGTCTAATAAACACAGCCAGTGTTTGTTTGTTTATTTATTACATTATTTGAAAGTCAAGAGTTGCATCAACTGCGAATTACGTAGACTTAGAGATTTCTAAAGGAGAAAAGGAAAAAAAAAAGAAAAGCAGAAGTTGTCTGCTGCTGAATGAAACTTTAATTTCAGTCTCCATGAGAGCAAAGAGTAGAGGTAAGAGGTGGAATTTGAAAACAGGGATAAGGTCTTCTTTCCTTGAACTATGTTATTTATTATAGAACAATAGCTTGATTCTTTTTTTCCCATATACCCATACACATATATTTGGGAAAAGTATTTTATATATAAATTTGCATAGATAAGGTATTTATTTATAAGATACTTATAGTGTATTATGTGGATCTCTGTGTGTGCATATGTGTATATGTATATATATATATATGTATGTATAAAACAGTGCATCTCACTAGTCATGTAAAATCCCAAGGAATAGTTTTCACAGAGCAGCAAGGAGTTTAGAATTTCTAATCACAGAATCATTTAGGTTATAAAACATCTCTAAGATTGTTGAGTCCAACTTCAGCCAGCACTGCCAACCCAGCACTAAGCCATGTCCTTGCAGTCCTGTGATGGAAGTGTGAGCAGCTCAGCTATCCTGTGTTTTCTCTGCTGTGCATAAAGAGTACCTGGAGCAATAGCAGCAGCTCTGCTTGACAGCAGCTAAGCAGGTCATCCCTGGGTGTTTGGAATCCCCTGCAGAGCTGCCCAGGTGAGCTGTGGCCCCATTGCTGCCCGTGCAGAGTGACTCAACACTATGGAATCCTCATGTCCTTGAAGCCTTTCTGTGCTTGCAGTTCCTAAAGGCTCTTAGGAGAGGTGCAGGCTGTGCTAATTCATTGCTGAGCGTTCACCCACCTGTGCTACCTGAGAGGAGCAATGCAGAGCAGAGACAGTGCGTGTTAAAAAAAAAAAATGAAATTAGACAATTTCTCTCAGGATTTTCTCCGTCTCTAGTCAAGTTTGTTTTAAACTAATGGAAGTAATTAGCAAGTCACAGAGGGACTTTGTCTACGAGGTAGCCATTTTTAGATAATGGAGCATAAAAGTCGACACAGTGACATATGACACCAGAGCAGCATATTGGAGCCACGCGCTGTGTCTTAAGCAGATGTTTAAGTACTTTGAATACTGAAATCACCACATACACGTATAGGAAGATTGTTGTGTTTTTTTTTTGTCTCAGACTACTGGTACACTGTAGGGCTTTCTTTTAATCTCAGTAAAATCAAAGTAAGCTCTGAGATGTTTTTAATGTGCAGTCATTATCACTCCTTTCTCTCTTCTTCAGATGTCTTTCCACATATGATACGTGGGTACTTCGGGAGGTAGGGATGGGAGTTGTGTTCTGCATGGCCATTGCACAGCAGAGGGGTGCAGCAATGCACCAGCTCATGTGCCAGGTTTCTAACAGCGCTGCTGGCATGGAGCTGAAAATAAATAACATTTTAGAAGTGAAGCACTTGATGTGTTTGCACATATTTATTGTAGCTGTGAATGCAGGGAAGATTTGCAGAAATTCCTGAGAGATGAAGGCCATCTCCCAGCAGGGTGGTCCCAGGAGGAAGGGGGATCTCCCCTCACAGGTCTCTGAGGCCATCCCAATTCTTATAGGTGCCAATAAACCTTGTGTGTTTAACCTCATCCAGTGCTTTCAGATTTTTTATATACTGGATAACTTCATCCACCTTATATTTTACGAATCAATGTATGACACTTGCAGTTTGTGCCCAGCAGTTGCTGCAGCATTAGGTAACACTTCCCACCACACACATAAAAATGTACAAATGGGATCCAAATAAACACACAGCATAGAAAGCCTTTGTAAGATGTACAGTCATGACATGATCACACCCTGGTTAGTGAGGGGTGCAGTTTGGTGAAGGAGGAGAAGGATTTTCTCTTCTTCCACTACAATTTGCTCCTCGTTTCTCTGCATTTGGGTGGCGCTGGGGGGCTTTGGCAGCAGGGTGGTTTGAGCCGTTTCCTGACTGTTTTTTTCTTTCATCTATGCCATCCTTTGGATTTTTATTTAAATCCAGATTAGTCCTTGATTCAGCTCAAAGCAGCACTGCAGAGGAGTCAGTTGTGGCATGGGGGGAAAGGGATGGTTGGGGTACAACTGTCTCAGGAGCTCTTCTCACCTGGGCCACCACTGCATCCCTTCTCCCACCTCAGCCAGTCTAGGTAGGATCTGTCTGGCCCAGCTCTTTTTCTGCAGGAATTAAGTGTCTGCTGAAGCCCCATCAGACCTGGCCAGCAGGTTTTTCCTTGTCTCAGGGCAGGCTGAAGCATGTCTGCTGAGCACTCAGCAGCCACAGCGTGAGAACCATCTAACAATCCAAGCTGGAACTCTGTACATCCATTCTCACTCACTTGAGATGTTTTTACGGGTACAATATGTTTGCCTTCACCACATGTGTGTTCCACCCTGTGGATTACTCAAATGGCAGAAAGTGTTTTGTTTCCTGTGTTATTAGCTGCAGGTTCAGTTTTGATCAGATTTGTCAATTTTGTCATATAATAGAGTTTTTGTTTTTCTGTCCTAATGTATGTGACATGTTTCATAATGGCAATAAAAATAGTTTTCAAACTAGTCTGTGAATGACTTTGTCCAAAAAAAGAGGAAAATAAAAATATCAGCGACTGGGGAGCTTTGATCTGACAGAGTAGGCTTTTAAATGGCACATTATGGTTTTTGAAGCACAGTTTTACAGTTCCCCTTCACAGTAACTGTAACATGTGAAGGGTCAGCCAGGGTGGGAACGCAGCTCAGGGTAGGAGTCCAGTTCCAGCAGCAGATGGGTGCTCCAGAATGGTTTAACTTTTTTTCTGTGTTTAAATTTTTTGTTGTTTTTATATTTCTGATAATGGAATTGTTATGGGCTTTTGAATTTCAGTTAAGAATGTGCAAATAGGCTATATGGTGAGTAGGTTATTGAAGGGTTAGGGAAATGGAGAACATTTCCTGCAAAAAAATACCCACAATGTGGGTAATAGACTCCAGTTGAATTTAAAAGATAATGGCGACAAGGGAGAAATCCACTTGTAGAAATGGGGAACAGCTGTGTTTGAGATCTAATGAAACTGTATCAAATACTTTAAAAATGGCTTACAGCTCCTTCCCTGGGGAACACAGATAAAGCACAAGAGCACTCCTGAAAGGTCGAAGAAACAGTTAAATCATTTCCTTGATGGTTATTAGAGATATAGAAGACATCAGTGAAAATTAAATGTCTGAAACTTGTATTTGATTGCTTTCCTTATCACGCCAATCTCACACATTTCTTCCATCTCTTACTCTCTGTTCTAGTAAAATTTAATAACTGTGCTGGTAACAAGGGAGTTCGCTATGAAACCAACAGCCTGGACTTCAAGGTGAGGGCGGACGGGACCCTGTTCGCTGCCCACCACGTGCAAATGCCCTCCAAGCAGCTGATCCTGGTGGTGACAGCGTGGGATCCCCAGACCCTGGGCAGATGGGAGGCCATGGTCCGCTTTCTGGTGGCAGAGAAGTCCCAACACAATGGACACAAGGTAAGAGGTTTTTTGGAGCTCTTTTTCTTTTTTTGTTCTTCCTTTGCCCCAAAGTTTCGTGTGGCTTCAGAGTGTTTGTGTTGCCTGGTCTGTGCTTCATAAGGAAGCGTCCAGGTAGGAGATACCACAAGCAGTATGCAATGATCCTTGAACCTCTCTGACAGAAATGATTTAAGGTCGCCAGTGAGGGAAGTGTTTTTTAAGTTCATACTTTTGTATTTTTAAGTGACTGCTTGGCTCTGTTGTACACTGCAGGTTATGTACATCATGTTTGCAACTCACTGCTAACAATCTCTCTTGACTTCAAGTAAAACCTGCAAATGAAGGGTACAGAGGCAAAGTCAACCATCTCCTTGATGGTTTTAAGTTCAGATTTCTTTTGTGACAGCCCAGACCTGGAGTCACGCACTGGCTGCTCTGCCATGCTGCCAAGACATCTTCCTGGTTTTCACAATTATTCCTTTCTCTTGTGAGCCATCTGCATAGCCCTGCAGCTTCCAGAGGGGAGATTTGGGCTTGTTCCTTCCAATGCAAGGACAGGGAGCATTGCTGCTGCCTGATAAGGAACACATGCTCACACGTGGTGCAGGCAGCGAAGCACAACGTGGCACTGCAGTGCCAAATGTCCCCTCTGCTCAGTGCCAGCACCTTCCCTTCCCCAGCCCTGACAGTGAAAAGCCAGTGCCATTCAGTATGTCAGACAGAAGGTTACAGATGGTTTCTTTCTGCTTTAGTTTCATGCACTCAGCTGAAAAGCAGGAGGGGTCTGTCCCTGCCCAGCAGTGAGAGCAGCATTCCCTCAGTTAAATGCAGTGGTGGGCTGCACAGAACCATTGGAATTGGGGGGCTGCTCCATGAAAACACATTTCTTCTGATCTGCCCTTGAGTAGCTGTCTCTTTCCTACCTCTTCCATCTCATTTTTGGCAGCAGCAGTTCACCTTTTCATTTTCAGTGTTAGTGTGGGCTGAAGATCCTCTACTACACTGAGTAAATGCAGTTATCTTGTCTGGTGCCAACTCCAGCAATGTAATGCTGGGCTGGTTGGGTGGTTACATTTAGGCAGGATTTGGCAGGGAAGTGTTTAAAGAGCCTGATTTATTGCTGGATCTTGAAGGCCTGCAGAGCAAGGATGAAGGT